CGACGCTACGCTCGTCAGTTCACACAGCGTCTTGACCAGACCATTTCAAGCCGACGCACGACTCACTGTGCAGGAAAAGTCTGGGCTTCGTTTTGGATCAAACGAAGAACTCGATAAGCCTCATACTTCTTTTGTTCATTATTCAGTTGTAATTTGTGTCTCTGGTAGCCACTATACATAACTGTTTATTGTCAGTGCTATTTCACCTTCTGATATTACTTCGAGTAAAAAGACAATAGCACCTACAGATTCATACCTATAATTCGCTGAGTCACTTTGAGACTACCTTGTTTTACTGACTAATCAAGTAACAATTTCGTTCACACAAACGATGCAGTTGTGCATGTATTTCTGTTCCCTTTTATCTCTTTTTATATGTACTGCGGCAGAAGAGATTAAACGGAACGAATTCATCCCTCTACCTTGTTGTTCCCACTCACTTGTTCAAACTGATCCGGAAATCACAATGTTTCAAGTCGTCTTATTTTTTATTTATTCGCCATGGAGCAGAAAACTCCGTCATAACCCTATGCATGCTAGATTTCTGTTTATTGCCAGGAGACTGCGACAAATATGTTCTACACGTGTTTCGGTTACCAAAGTCAGAAATATGCATACTACTGGTAGGATAATTGTACTTTTTCCAGAGTGAACTTTCATTCTTGTGTAAAACGCAGTTCAGAGTGATTATATTTGCCTTGCCAAGGTGAGACCTACTTGAATATAAACCGAATTGAATAACATTGATAACGGAATTTTAATCCACCCACTGTAGTGATGACGTGCGATGTACGAAATTGATTTATTTGGTGGTGAGCAATTACGCTGCGCTTTGCATGCACAATAGTCTGTACGAACCTAAATCGACCTACACCTGGTTCATTCACAGAGATGGATGGTGCGAATTCTTCCGCAAGCCGTCACGTCCAGTCTGATTTTTACGAAAACAAATTCTGATAACCTGCCGATAACTCTTCTGAGGTTGGCCACCCAGTTAGGCTTTACACTTTGGAATGCTGTAATCCGTCTGCACACTTCGGTTTTCAAATTCATCCAAGTGCTAACATGTCATTTTAAGATGCGTGGCTACATAAAGCCTTGTCAAAACCGTCCGGTTCACTGTTTCTCTCTCCCTCTGTCTCCAGCTTTCAGCTGAACATCTAAGCTTTCATTCAGTGACGGTGAATCATGTTACACTCACCATCGCTCAAATCTGACCTTAATGTTCTCGCCGTTTCCCCAACGCAGCCGATGCCTTTGGACCTTTCACAGCAACCCGATCTCTCTTCAACTTTCAACGACGAGGAACTAAATGTGGACCCAACTGTCATGCGACCCTTAAATTTGAGCATTCACAACCACCTTGTTCACCACACGAATCGTACCGACGGTGACCATTGGATGAAGACCTATCAGGTCCGGCATCATATACATCAACAGCCACATTTCTCAAAGTTGCCGTTGCATCCACCGTTTTTCAGACCACTCAATATGTCCTCCGAAATCGAAACAAAAGTTCCGCTTGCGCCCAACCAGTGGTTTAGATTGCCAGCTCCTCTGATGATACCAAAACCCGAACAACTCCTTGCATATGCTATGAATACTCATCGAAGATCTTGTGTTGAGTTCCATGAAAAACACTTTTGGGATACGGCTCACGAGCGCAAGCAAGCACTGACAACCAGTGAAAGTGTGCTCTGTGGCAATACAACCATGACCTGTATGAATATGACGACGTGTCTTCACATGATGCAACAAGCGATCTCGTATACCCGTCCTTTTCCTCATCCAGCAATATCTGAAAAAACATTGCTTAACGGTGCAACCAATGTAGTACCCACAAGAACTAAGAGATCACTACAAGGTACGACTAAGAGACATATTTTAAACGTCATTTCAAATGGAATATCTTCTAGTATGGGGGGACGGACCGCATCCGACCTACGGTCCGAAAAATCCGCACCATCTCTGGACGAAAATTCCGAACTTGTTTCCCACGACCGGAACGAGCCTGCGCGGGAATCACTTCCAAAACATATAATGATCCTCAAACGTGATCGTTACCATTGCCAGTATTGCGGGAAGCTATTCCCCCGTTCAGCAAACCTCACAAGGCATATTCGTACTCATACAGGTGAACAGCCATATAAATGCGTTCACTGTCCACGGTCATTCAGTATTAGCTCGAACTTACAGCGCCATATTCGAAATATTCATCAGAAAGAGAGACCATTCCACTGCCTCGTCTGTTTCAAACGTTTTGGCCAACGCGCGAACCTTGAACGCCATATCCGTAACCATCTGATCAGTATGGATTCATCAACTACAGAAAATGGGCATCAGTTGTACCCCACGACAGGTCTTCTTGAAAGACTGATTGAATAACCGCGATGTGTTTCTTACCACAATCCAGCAACTCAAGTACAAAATTTTACTTCTTGCAAATGAAAGAGATTACTCATTTGATTACTTTGTCTGATGCAATTTCATTGCAGACTCAAACGTACTCCAAATTAAAAGACGTCAAGTAACATCTGCCCGAAAAAGCACTCATTTCTTTTGCCGTTCGTGATTTTCTCCGACAAACCACAAAAAAGACGCTGTTAGAATACAGATTGTCTACAAAATATTTTTCGTGGTTTTTTCAAGGGTGTTGGTGAATGCGTCGGTTTTTCTGGTTGGTGTATTTTGATGTCAGGCTTTAACTTTGAAGAAGTAACACACCTAGTCCTTCGAATTTAGAAGTCTATTAGGTTGTTTTATGCATTACACAGTCGTGGGTCAACGGAATTCTCGGACTGTTGTTCACCTGAACAACAATAGCGGAATTCTTGGACTTACTTCCTGGTACATTCAAATGGGTTTATGCCATCCACTATTTTCTGTTTGACCATTATTGGGTTTATAGCTTTAACAAGCTTGATGAAAATAGCTTACAGTGAAGCAAGGGGATAGACCTGTTTTTTGACGTTTGGTTTACTTTAGTTTACCTTATTTGGTGTGGATAAGTGCGCCACAGCGAGACTGATGTGAATCTGTTCAATCAAGTTGTGTAGGCGAATAAGGTGCGTAAAAGTTCGCGAATAAAAGCCAGCTGCCATAATTGAGGGTGATTTTTCGGTCGTAAGACAATGCATGAGTTTAGGAGTACTTGTAGCCACGTATTATCGGTGGACCAAAAGTCGCTTGCATCTGGGAAGAAACGACTGACACCGAGGATTTTGCCTCTATTGAAGATGAAATTTGCACTTAGACAAGATAGGGTGTCACTCATTCTCCATTCACGGTATCCACAGCAAATTTTAAAGCGGCGAGAGAACATCATAAACGAGAGATTCAGCTAGGTTCCAGGTGAGTCTCTCGAAAGAACCAAATTAGTTTACAAATGAGTGTATATTCGCTAATTTCGTGCAATTTGGTTTCAAGTAGAACATAAGGTTGACGGAAACCCAGGGACTGCGCCTACCTGATGAGCCCCAAGAAGCGCGAGACCGGTCGTGGGCTGTCGAAGGATTTTCAGCAACCTTATGAGTAGTACATCAGAAAATGTACAAGATACAATTCTCACTGAAAATTCTCAGATCAACTCGCACTATCCAGTATTTTATCAGCAGAATGATATAACAAAACAAATGAACATTCCATCCGAGTTGTCACTCGGGCAGCCGGTCGCAACGTAAATACGTGATGTGGATTTCGTAGCTGAATATTAGGTGACACTATATTCTCTCTAGGATCGAGTAAGTCATGCTGCTTATCAGCCATTTTTGATCGAGGGCTTAAGTGCTGAAACTGATAGTCGGGATATTACAGTTTCGAAAATCGATGGAGTTTTGTCAGGTGCGCATTGCTGATGATTCCCGATAAAGTTGATTGAGCTGTACAGTACTTGTCGGATTTACGAAGTAGACTAGATTTATTTGTAATGCACTACTCATGAAATTGCTGAAAATTTGCCGACAGCCCACGACCGGTTTCGCCCTTCTTGGGGCTCATCAGGTAGGCGCAGTTCCCAAGTTTCCGCCAACCTTATATTCTACTTACTTACAGGATGAGACATCGATCGAAAATTATGGCTTTATCAAGCTTAAGGTGTGAAGTGTACAAAAACAAGTACTTCAACAAAGAATTACAGTACTGAAACGGGTGAGAAAACATGATCGGAATGAGCGCGTTCATTGGTGAGTTTTAGCTTCGCACAAGATCATTCAATTTATGGCCGTACTGTGAAGAAAACTCGGTAGTTTTACAACAGCTGCTCCTTTTAGATGAACTCGGCTTGTCGTTTGTCAAGAGGAGCAATCCACAGCTGAACTCACTCACGCTTAATCTGTAAGACCCAAGTACTATCTTGACTCGAGAAAACAGAGTAACTGCCTATCTAGTGTGCAGCGTGGTTTCGTTAATTGTGAAGTCCATTAGCCCAAACATACGCAATCGCTAGAGAACCGCTAGCCTACACTTGAGGAAAGAAATCTACATGGATCTTGTTATTGGGATAATGTGAACCTCTTTAATTACGGTCCGTAAGATAACAGGAGGTCCAAACCGGTTGTCCTACTTCTACTCATTTAACAGTACTGGTTTGATTTGTCGTTACTGCACCCTATTTAAGAACTTCACACAGTCAATCACTGACTACTTCAAAACTACCCAGCAGTGTGCGATACAAATCTGCCTATCCGGTATCGATGAGGTGAGCAAACGACCCGATTGGTTATAGCTAGATAGACTTAGATAAATTAGAGACTGCTATTTTTGTGGAAACAATGTGTTAGTTTTACTTCCCCACAAGCTTATATAGGATGGTCTAATTGAGGAAAATAATGTTAGAAGAATAGCGTTCTTTGATTTAATTCAAGTCAGTCCCATAAGTTTAAGCTTTACCTTAGACGTACATCTGCCTTTTCCATGAATCTTTTACCAACAATTCATGCATCGGGATAAAGTGCCATAGATTAAAACCGATTTTTTTTTGGAAACCCTCAACACAGTGGTCGACACACAAACGAATGTGTAAAATCAGTGCTAAAGTACCGTAAAAGTGTGTCCAAGTGGTTGGAGAAAATCATTCTTGTAGGGAACGAATAAACTAGCCAAGGGAGTGGGTCTAATGTTCGTCTATTGTGCCATCTAACATAATGAATCACGGCGACTTCTAGCTCTGTGGGCACTGTTGCCTAATCAAGTTCAGCAAATGCGTGGTACAGTGTGTTGCATTGTTTGACATTTCGACCTCAGATAGTTCAGTTGCTTAACAGACTACATTTCCCAGACTACATTCCCAGAATGAAAATGCCGGGTGCATCTAAAATGTATAGTTGATTGGATGGACCTATAAAATCCTACTGCGTAAATTCTATTAGAAGGTTTATCTACTTCCCACTTGTTCCAATCTTTCTCTCTATCGCATTAAAATGAATATGGAAAATTCCCCAACATTTATTATCTACTTCCCACTTGTTCCAATCTTTCTCTCTATCGCATTAAAATGAATATGGAAAATTCCCCCAACATTTAACCAATTGACAGTGCCCGGTGAAAAAAACCCAATTCCCCTGACCAGATTATTTAATTAGGATGACCACCACGTAAAACATAACGATACTGCCCCCTGAGAACTGTTTTGCTTTTTCTGTATTTTTGGTTGCTCAAAATTTACGGGCAACTTAGTGGTTGTTGGGTAGGTGTTTGTTGGTCCGTATGTCAAACTTGGCAATTAACTTGCAAGCATTTTGTCACCACCAGGGCAGACACCACCAATGCGCGGCTGGTTTGGTCGAGACCTCCTTAAACAGGTGCTTGAATCCGATCAGCTTCAGATAGTTTATACTACTTTTCCTACTTTCCTACTTTTCCACTGGGACCCCAAGCTACCAAATACGGTAATTTGGCGAGCAACTTTTGGCTTGGTACTGGCTGATAGGCCGATTCTCAGGCCGGAATTTTGGTATTCACTTTCCCCTCATTTCTGAGTGTTTGCCTATTGCGATCGGGAATTTCGTGACGTAATCACTCCATATTTCGCAACGTGCTGTGTAATTACCCTTACTACTGTGAAGTATCATGAGTAGTTAAAAATCCGTCGGTCTTAAAATCTGGACCGTAAGAGTGTCTTGGTCGTTTCATAATTGTGAAGACTGACTGTGAACCCGTACGGAGATTCGAACTTCCATCAGGTCGTGACAGTAGTTTACTCTCGCAGCTGCGAAAGCTGGAGAATTCCTCGTGCAAGACAGGATCTTTTAGTACGCAAGAACGGATTTATGATGCGTTTTCATCGGTTGCCCCACCCTTTTGTGATCTGCGCCTGCTCATCATAGTACATGACTGCTTTTCGCCGTCTGAGACACATATTAGCATTTGAGCTGATTGACAAATGCCAAAGTAAAATCTGTGTTTTTTAGCTGTTACACTAAGAAGTAAATTCGACCGACCACTGAAGGATTGATATGGAATGAAATTGGATGTTTAAATTTCATGACCAGCTCCATGGTTGAATCCGGTCGGTGAATCTCAAGTTCCCTTGTCAACAACCAGCTCTTCTACACATGATAGCTTCGAAGGACCCATACACGGGATGTCTCTCCCCATCACTCTTATGACTCCCAAGCAACGAATACTATAAGCTACTGTACTCTGTTCTAGTGCTGATTCTTCCCTTAACACCAATGTGGCCACCACGAATGAACTAGAGGTTTTTTGTGTCACCATGACCCTTCAAGGTATACTGAGGTTCGTCTATAAGGTCGTCCAGAATATCCTTTACTGGGTTGTTGGAACAGACGTATTTTTCTGACCAGGTTGAGACGTGGAACGTGTGATTACTTCTTTTTAAATGTAAGTACTCTGAAAGTACCGCCGCTTCCGTTTTCGGGCTTTTGAGCCAAGGAGTACCTTGGAAACACCTCAGTTTAAAAACAGCAACATAGTGCTGAACTGTCAGTCAGTTTATGCCAAATCGACCATCGCCTGACGATCTCACCCTCTTCGTACGGCAGAAGGGGTCAGCGAAAAAGAGCTGGTATCGTCTGGTACATTCAATTTTTTCACTACTGCTGCTTGAAGTCTTTTCCTCTCTCTGTACTCAGCACTCTTTCGCTCATCATAGGTACGTTTATGTCAGTATTGTGCCTAATGAAATCGCCAACAACATGCCATCTCCCATAACCGTTACTACGCTCTCGCTTCTCACATCTGACTTGATCATAAACCTTTGAAGTAAATCGGCAAAAAAGCTACTCGTGCATTTACAGGCAACAGTCGAACCTACGTTATCCCCATTAAAAACACTCCCAACATCAGTTGCCACAGCGAGTAATATCAATTTTGGCGTGACTTTCAGCTTCGGACATTAGGTTTCTTTCCTTGGTTGGGTCACCGTG